TCAAACATAGTTGGGGAAAATACAAATTGCAATTAGAGCACGAAAGAATAAATTCCATGTCCTTAGAAGACTTCGCAGAATGGTTTGAAGAGGAGACGAATTTGGTAGCAGGAATCATCAATCCATTTAATCAGAGGTATACTCCAAAGAATTTCACGAAGAAAGAAAGTATATTGGTTTCAAAGCAAAAAAACAACGAGAAGCATTCTGCGACATCTACAGGGTGTGTCTTCTGTGAGAACGCCAACCATATCATCCAAGAATGTGGTGGGTTTCTGGAAAAGACGGTAGCTGAGAAAAGAGAAGCAGTTGCGAATCTCAAACTCTGTTTCTTGTGTTTGGAGAAGGGTCACATAGCAAAAAGGTGCCCTATCAAGAACAGATGTGGAGAAAACAATTGCAAAGGACGGCACAATAAATTACTTCATGTAGAAAGGAGTAACTTGTCATGTACAGAAGAACAGCAAAATTTTTGTGGTACCAACGTTTCGGTAGCAGATAACATGGTGCTCCTGAGGATCGCTCCAGTTAAAATCAGGGGACCTACAGGGGAAGTGCAAACTTTCGCTCTATTCGACGAGGGATCAACATGCTCCATGATCGACAAAGAGTTAGCTGACAAACTTGGACTCTCTGGACCTACCCTTCCTTTATGCTACCAGTGGACCAACGGAATAACCCATTTTGAAGATGATTCCCAAATTATATCTGTCGATATCTCTGCATCTACATCTACAGAGTTCTACAGAATGAATCAAGTAAGAACTGTAAGGAATCTTAGCTTACCACGTCAAGAAATAAACGTAGACGAGGTGGCACGAGTATATTCTTACTTAGATCGTGGAATTTTGGAATCTGTGAAGTTGGCAGCTCCTCAAATATTGATTGGACAAGATAACTGCGGTCTTATCGTTCCAAGACAGATTATTCAGCCAAAACTTGATCAACCGATCATGTCGAAATCGAGGTTGGGTTGGACGATCAACGGAGCCATCCATCTTTCGGAATACAGTAAGGAATCAGCTCATGTGAGTCTGTGCTGCCGTCAAATTCACGATGAAGATTTGCATTTTCTGATCAAAGATAGTTTCAAACTGGAGACTTTTGGTATACATCCCAAAGATACCATAATCAAGTCAGCAGAAGATAAGAAAGCACTCCATATCATGGAAAATACTCTGGAGAAGGTTGGAAATCGCTTCAAAATAGGACACCTCTGGAGGAATCAAGACCAAATTCTGCCAGATAGCTATCAAAATGCTATGAAGAGGTTGCTGTGCATGGAGAGGAAGATGGACAAAAATGAAGCCTTTGCAGAGTTATACTGTCAGAAAATCGAGGAATACCGAGCGAAACATTATGCAAGACTCCTTGAACCATCAGCTGCATCTCACCATCATAAAAAGACCTGGTACCTTCCTCATTTTGCGGTGTACAATATCAATAAGCCTGGGAAGCTAAGATTCGTCTTCGATGCAGCGTCAAAGTCCCATGGTTACAGTCTAAATGACTTCTTGTTGCAAGGCCCTGACTATGTCCCTCCTCTGGTTTCAGTTCTTTGGCGTTTCAGGCAAGGTAAAATTGCTTTCAACGGTGATATTCGAGAAATGTTCCACCAAGTTGTAATAAGGGAGCAAGACAGGTGTGCACAGCGATTCCTATGGCGCGGCAAGGATAGAAACCGGGAGCCTGATGTATATGAAATGAATGTCATGATTTTTGGTGCTGTTTCTTCTCCTTCGGTGGCACAGTTCGTCAAGAACAAGAATGCCATGGACTTCGAGCACCAGTTTCCAGGCATAACCAGATCCATCCAGAAACAACACTATGTAGATGATTATCTTGACTCATGCGATACCGAGGAAGAGGCTATGAAGCGGGTAGCAGAAGTCATTCATGTTCATGCTCAGGGTGGCTTCGAAATAACGAAATGGACAAGTAACTCCAAGAATGTGTTGGGATTGTGAGAAACCGGGAGCCTGATGTATATGAAATGAATGTCATGATTTTTTGTGCTGTTTCTTCTCCTTCGGTGGCACAGTTCGTCAAGAACAAGAATGCCATGGACTTCGAGCACCAGTTTCCAGGCATAACCAGATCCATCCAGAAACAACACTATGTAGATGATTATCTTGACTCATGCGATACCGAGGAAGAGGCTATGAAGCGGGTAGCAGAAGTCATTCATGTTCATGCTCAGGGTGGCTTCGAAATAACGAAATGGACAAGTAACTCCAAGAAAGTTATTGCAGCAGTTCCTGAGAACTTGCGATCTGAATCACAATCCCAACACACGATCGATTCAGAAAAAATTGAGCGAGTTCTAGGCCTATCCTGGAGACCAGAATCAGACGACTTCATTTTCACGTTAAATCTGAAGAAGATTCCTCGGGAAATCATCGATGGAGACAAGGTCCCAACAAAGAGAGAAGTTCTCCGGCTGGTTATGTCTGTTTTTGATCCTTTGGGTTTTCTTGCACCTTCATTGGTAAAAGGGAGGCTGTTGATGCAAGAAATTTGGAAAACCAGTATCGATTGGGATTCTAGGATACCAGAAGAACATTTTGAAACTTGGAAGAAATGGTTGATAGAACTCCAGAGCCTAACACCTATCTCCATTCCCAGATACTATTTTCCAGAAGTTTCACTGGTTCAGAAGGTACAACTGCATGTGTTTTGTGATGCTAGCGACAAAGCCTACGCAGCAGCTGCTTATTTTCGAGTTGAAGCTGGTGAAGGAGTATCAACAGCACTGGTGACTTCCAAATATAAAGTGGCACCTTTGAAGCAGCAAACAATCCCGAAATTGGAGTTACAAGCAGCTGTTTTAGCTTGTAGAGTAGCCAAATCAATCATCCATGAAATTGAATATGCAGTCCAAGAAGTCTTTTACTGGACTGACTCCATGGTGGTACTCAAACAAATTCGATCCCATTCCAAAAGATTTCCTATGTTTGTTGCCTGCCGCATTGGTGAAATTCAAGAAGAAACATCTATTTCGCAATGGAATTGGATTCCATCTGAGATGAATGTTGCCGATCAAGCTACAAAAGATATAAAATCTCTTGATTTCGGATCCGATAGTTCATGGTTGAATGGACCTCCTTTTCTGAAGTATACTGATGAACTCTGGCCTAAAGAACCCGTAGCAGATGTGAGAGCAGATGGTGAATATGTTCTGGTCATCAAACAAACTGAGGATACGTCAGTATTGCCAGACATAGAGAGATTTTCTCAATGGAAACGACTCATTCGCTCTTCAGCTTGGGTGTTGTATATGAAGAAAATCTGGCTAACAGCAAAGCAAGACAGGCCACGAAAGGCAAGCCTGGACGTGAACCTTTTGGAAGAAGCCTCGAAGCGGTGGATTCTCAAGAGCCAAAGGATATCATTTTTTGAAGAAATCGAAACTCTCAGGAAAGGCGGCCTCCTTGAAAAGTCCAGTCGTTTGTACAAGTTGTCTGCATTCCTCGATGAGAAAGGCATGATTCGTCTCGGTGGAAGATTTCCTGATTCAGACAGACTCGATCTCGACTATGACTCTCGATTTCCGATTGTTCTAGACCCCAAGCATAGGTACACACTGCTCCTAATTGATCACTATCATAGGGAAGCTGGACATGTCGGGATAGAGACAGTGATAAACAATTTGAGATTGAAATTTTGGATTCTGCATGTTCGTGTGGCCGTCAAAAGATGTTTCAATACTTGCCTGCAATGCAGAAAGAGAAGATGTAATCCAGCAGTGCCAGAAATGGGCCTATTGCCACCATCAAGACTGGAAGCCCATGTTTTTCCCTTCACTTATGTGGGAATCGACTTTTTTGGGCCAATTACTGTTGCTGTAGGTCGCAGAAATGAAAAAAGGTATGGCGTTCTATTTACCTGTTTCTCGATTCGAGCAGTCCATATTGAGTTGGCAGCATCGCTAGATACTAGTTCTACAGTTATGGCTATAAGGCGTTTTATCTCTCGAAGAGGCCAACCAAAGGAGTTTTGGACTGATTGTGGAACAAATTTCGTAGCAGCTGAGCGAGAATTACGAGAGTGGGTGAATTTGCTAGACCATGATAGAATATCCAACGACCTTGCCCTGAATGGAACCACATGGAAATTCAATTGCCCAGGCGCTCCTCATATGGCTGATGGTGTCTGGGAGAGAATGGTGAAGTCCATTAAGACGGCACTGAAGATATCTTTGAAGACTGTAAAACCAAGAGAAGAAGTTCTCATCACACTCTTATGTGAAGCAGAATATATGGTGAACTCACGACCCCTCACCCATATATCCGTAGACCCTGATGACCCTGTCGCAATCACTCCAAACCACTTCTTACTTCTTCGCCCAGGAGGTGTTTCATCATATGCTGAAAATTCAATTTCCACAAGAAAGCAATGGAGATTTTCTCAAGCACTTGCAGATTTGTACTGGAAACGTTGGATTATGGAATATAGACCTAGCTTGGTCAATCGACAGAAATGGCACGATCGAGCTAGTCCAGTGAAGGTTGGTGATGTGGTAGTCATCGTCGATGAGAAGGCACCGAGAACAGAATGGCTGATGGGACGCATAGCTGAGACGTATCCAGGAAAGGATGGCGTAATTCGAGTAGCTAAGGTAGTTACGAAAAGAGGGAGCTACACCAGACCTGTTTCCAAATTATATGCATACTGCCCACTTCTACTGAGAATTAGTGAAGACTTCTTCACGTAGGGGAGAATGTAGAAGATTCATCGTCCAGTATATATATTTGTCATAATATGTCAATCAAAATTATTGTAATCTAGTGCCATGATTTCTTTGAGTTTGTTATTCGAGAGTCGTTACTTACTTGTTTTATCAACATAAAAATTTTGTCACGGAATTTATTGGCAATATATTTTGAACCGTTTTCGAGTATCTCTCAAGACTTTTATTGGAAAACTCACAATTTCATTACCAGGGGGCGTCTAGGAGTTTTGGATTCGCAAATATAGTGATATTTTGTAAATATACCAACCTTGCAGACAATATATTAGGCAATCACGATTTTTCTTCGCTGCTTCTCCTCCTGCAGTTCCCATAGCTAATAATGAAATCACATCAGCAAGACTTTTCTTCATTTGTCCATTACCCATCTTCTGATGAGTTGATTTCAAATCATCATAATAAACAGCTAGATATTTCAGAGGTTTTGGTACAGAAGTCATTGAAGTCGTTGAGGTACGGACCAAATATTTCATCATATCTAATGCTGGTTGTATCAATGATTGATCATTTCCCTAAAAATATGGTTGAATATATATGGAAGGGTTGTAATTTCATAGAATAATTTTTATTTTTACAGTTATTTTGTTGACTAGAAGTTTCAGCTCAACTTGAAGTTCCTTGTCTTCTTCAGTCTACAATAATAAAGTGATTGAAGAACAGGAAAAGTAGGTAATATATAGAGATATGAATAAAAAGTTATGTCCATTTATATTCGATATTCACCTCTTCATCTTTTTTTGCTTCTTTGCGTGGAGCAACTATTGCACTCATTGGAGTACTGGATGAAAACTATCGAAGACGGCCAGATACCAGATTATGATTGAGAATCCTATGGGATGACATGCATATTTCAATAATGATTCGAATAATTTTGAAACTGTACACTGTACTGTACATACTTCATTTCTTTATTGTGGTATCACAAAAGTTACATACCTAATTTCTCGATTATTATGCAGTAAGATTCAAATCTTGAGTATTATTTTCGCAAAAAGATCTTCGAATTTCGCAATTTTTAAACGTGCCACAATTTTCGAACAAGGCAGAAGTGACAGAACCGTCACCGACACACAGTCACAGAACAGGAAAATACTACATTTTTGATGGAATCGACTCTGCTTTGATTCACCATTGTCGCAGTAGGCCACAATCTCACATGTCCTCGGTGTCACTGGCAATGGGCGTAATTATAACTGTCTTATAAATCATAGAGTATGTAAAGATTAAAGAGAGAAGAGATGTCATATTTTGCATATTTCAAGCCTTTGAGGTTAAGTTGAATGATTTTTTTTCATGATGATTTTGATCTGTTATTTGATTTTCTGATGTTCAAAGCAAGTTTCAAATATTACAAATCAAAAAGTCCTCCACCATGCTTGAAAGAAGTCTTGGATATAGACCAGACGAAAGAATTATTGGAGAAATCAGTCCTGAAACAAATAAACATTATTTGTCAAGACAAACTTTGGAAAACATTTGGCATGAAATCACCTGAAAATTGGGAAGTATTTGAACTCATAGATCATCCTGGCTTGATATACATCAAGAACCCATATACAAACAGTGGACAAAAATACTGGGTTATTCGAAGCTTGAGAGATTTTTCTAAAATTCCAAATAAAAGGAACATAGATGCTCTTGGTATAGTATCTGAAAATTGGTGGGAATCTGCAAAGAATGACAAGAAAACCTTGATGATGCTGAGGTGGACTACCCTTGGCTACCATCACAATTGGGATACAAAAATATACAGTGAGGACAATAAAGGAAAATTTCCTGAGGACTTGAAAAATATGACCAAGTTCATAGCTGGTTTATTAGGTTTTGAAGATTTCAGTGCTGAAGCTGCCATTGTGAATTATTACCACATGGATTCCACACTTTCTGGTCATAGTGATCATTCTGAACAGTTTCTAGAAGCCCCTTTATTTTCATTCAGTTTTGGACAAAGTGCCATCTTTCTGCTTGGTGGTATCACTGAAGAAGAAAAACCAACAGCAATGTTTCTGAAAAGTGGGGACATTATAGTTATGAGTGGAAAATCAAGATTATCTTACCATGGAGTTCCTAAAATTGTTCAAACAGAATTAAAGCTAGGTGATGAAATAGGAGATGAAAATTGTAATCAAAATGCCTTATGCATGGATGAGGATAATTGGAAACCATTTAGTGATTATATTGCTCATTCAAGAATAAATGTAAATGTCAGACAAGTATTAAGAAAGGGATTGTTGAAGTTGGATGATCATATCTGAATAGAGGCTGAGTTGATCTAATATCTTTTTGCAGAGGAAAACTATAAATCTTTCAAACATGATCATCTTTTCAAGTATTATGTTGAATTAATTAGTTGAGAATTTTAAGATGCAATTATAAAGCTTGACAAAATGCAGGAATGTGGTACCTATTTTTTTATTATAAGTAGACTTGTATTCCATTCAGTTTGATACTTCATTCACTAAATCCAATCATTGTAACAACAACTCTAGATTACAAAATATTCACAGGAGGATAAAAATGACTCTTAATCATATTATGAAAATCACTCATGGAATTTTAATCAGATGAAAATGACCCATAATCATCTGAAAATCATACTCATGGGATTTTATTCAAATAAAAATCACACTCATGGAATTTTATTCAGTCATTCAATATTTTTCAAACCAAATTGAAATATTTCTTATTCATATTTTCATATATGTCTAAACCATGGATGAAAAATTTGGGACAGATCAATTAGAATGAAATATATAGGGTTGTTCAGAAAAAACTGGTATTTTTTTTCAGCCACCCAAACATGAGGTCAGGATTGATGGGTATGACTGATGAATATACTTCTTATTTTCATATTATTTGGCCTTTTGCTATGATATCTTCTTCTCCGTCAATGTAAGAAGTGGTCATGAAGTTCCATATTGAGACTTAAAAAACATGGCTCACGTCTTTCCATAACTTGAGGTTTTTTATTTGTACAAATGTTCCTTATTTTTTTTCCAACATTTTCAATGAAACAGGCCATCACTTGTTAGAGCTATCTGGCAAAATTTTAGGATTTTTGACTTTGTTTTAGTAGCGCCAACAGATGAAAGTGAAAATGTTTGCCCTCGCATTGAAGAGTATAATAATTTTTTTTTATACATCATCTTCCTTTCATCATGTATGGAAGTGGAGGAGAGGGGAAATGAGATGTGACAGTTGAAGACATGGTGAAAATGTGTCCCACAGTTTCAAAATCTTTCTTGAGCAATCTCCTGGAAGCCTGTCCTTTCTGTTGGGTCACACTACATTTTTATTGATCTGTAATTTCACAGTCATTAATGTTTTCACCATGTAGTTCCAATTAACAATTTATGCATCCAAATTACTTTGTATCCATCATCAACTAGTCTATGAAAGATGATCAACTTTCATTTATAACATGAAAACAAATAATACATACAGGGTGTCCCATTGGGAAACGGAAAAACTTCAACAGTGGGTAGAGCTCATCAAGGTGGTTCTGAATATACCATATTTGTAGGGTCTTGCAAGTTATATATCCAAGATATAGGGTGTTTTATCAATTTCGTTCAATTCTTTGTGAGGACATAACTTACAAACCACCCAGTATATTCATTTGGAATTTGGTACACAAGTTCGCCTTATTCTACCAAAGCGACTCACCTATCAGTCACGAGAAAAATCCAGGTCCGAATTAACGAAAATTGATTATATATTTGGAACCCAAAAATATCACCCTATATATTCGAATTTCCAAAATCCGCTCACATATTTGGAAAGTGCATGAAAATCTGAATCGTATGATGTACTTTCCATTTTTCCGCATGCTATTTCACTAGGTAATTTCTGATTTTGAATATGATGTTTCATGCATTTGGATAGGTAAAAATGAAATGTTTTGAGTTTTCCCAATCGAATAACAAAAACTATCACGAATCACCCAGTATATTCTTTTGGAATTTGGTACACAAGTCCTCCTTCTTCTGCCCCAGCGACTCTCCTATCAGTCACGAAGAGAATCCAGGTCCGGATTAACGAAAAATTATGATCTGCTGGGCCCGAAAAAGAACACCCAGTATTTTCGAATTTCCAAAATCCGATTCCATATTTGGTAAGTTCACAAAGAGATGAATCGAATAGTGTACTTTTCAATATCCCGCATGCTCTTTCACTAATCAATTTCTTATTTTGAAAACTCAAAACTTTCCATCTTACCTCGATTTCTACCTATCCAAATGCATAAAAACTCAAATTCAAAATCAGAAATTCAGTAGTGAAATAGCATTCGTATGAAAACAAAAAGTAGACAATCCGATTCAGCTTTTTGTGCAATTTTCAAATATGTATGCATATTATGGAAATTCGAAAATACAGGGTGTTCTTTTTGGGGCCCAGAAATATAATCAATTATCGTTAATTCGGACCTGGATTCTTCTCGTGAATGATAGGTGAGGGGCTTGGGTAGATCAAGGAGAACCCGTGTACCAAATTCCAAAAAAATATACTGGGTGGTTCGTGATAATATTATTCGATTGGGAAAACTCAAAACATTTTATTTTTACCTATCCAAATGCATGAAAGCTCGAATTCAAAATCAGAAATTCCTTTGTGAAATTGCATCATGTGGGAAAATGAGAAGTACATCATTCGGTTCAGCCTTTTGTGCACTTTCCAAATATGTAAGCGGATTTTGAGAATTCGAAAATACAGGGTGTTCTTTTTGGGGTCCAGAAATATGATCAATTTTTGTTAATCCGGACCTGGATTTTTCTCGTGGATGAAAGGTGAGGCGCTTGGGTAGAATAAGGAGAACTCGTGTACCAAAGTCCAAAAGAATATACTGGGTGGCGCGTGATAATTGTTGTTATTCAATTGGGAAAACTCGAAACATTATTTTTACCTATCCAAATGCATAAAACCTCAAATTCAAAATCGGAAATTCAGTAGTGAAATAGCATTCGTATGAAAATAAAAAGTAGACAATCCGATTCAGCTTTTTGTGCAATTTTCAAATATGTATGCATATTATGGAAATTCGAAAATACAAGGTGTTCTTTTTGGGACCCAGGAATATAATCAATTTTCGTTAATTCGGACCTGGATTTTTCTCGTGAATGATAGGTGAGGGGCTTGGGTAGATCAAGGAGAACTCGTGTACCAAATTCCAAAAAAATATACTGGGTGGTTCGTGATAATATTATTCGATTGTGAAAACTCAAAACATATTATTTTTACCTATCCAAATGCACAAAACCTCGAATTCAAAATCAGAAATACCTTTGTGAAATTGCATGTGGGAAATTGGGAAAATGAAAAGTGCATCATTCGGTTCAGCTTTTTGTGCACTTTCCAAATGTGTAAGCGGATTTTGAGAATTCGAAAATACAGGGTGTTTTTTTTAGGGTCCAGAAATATGATCAATTTCCGTTAATCCGGACCTGGATTTTTCTCGTGGATGATAGGTGGGGCGCTTGGGTAGAATAAGGAGAACTCGTGTACCAAAGTCCAAAAGAATATACTGGGTGGTTTGTGATAATTGTTGTTATTCGATTGGGAAAACTCAAAACATTATTTTTACCTATCCAAATGCATAAAACCTCGAATTCAAAATCAGAAATTCCTTAGTGAAATTGCATGCGGGAAAATGACAAGTATACCATTCGGTTCAGCTTTTTGTGCACTTTCCAAATACAGTGTCATTCATAAAGTCGGCATCATATGGGAAAAACTTTTTTAATAACTTATTTTGAAATTCGAGTTGGACGTTGAGTTTTGCTTCAAAAAAGGTGAAAAATGGCATACTCAATCGGGATCACGTGACTTTCGCTACATGTCAAAAGTGACATTTTTTCAAATTAATCGCTGAAAGTAGGCTTATTTGTTCGAATATCGAAAAAGTTTCTTTGAAAAAGTTGTTTCTATTTAAATTTTACATATGTGACTCGGATTTTATCTTTCTATTACATTTTTTAGATTTCGATTTTTAAAAAATTTTCGAAATTTCTGTAATATTAAAAAAAATGTAAATTCGATAAAACTACTTCATACCAGTAGTTTCATCATGCTACTAACTTCCAATTACTAATTATCACTAATTATCGACAAAAATATGATTTTCTTCAGAAAATGAAAATCTCCGCTTCAAAATTCTGTTATGTTTAATGCAAACATAACATCAAAATTCTGTTATGTTTGAGTCGAGCATTTAGAAACGAAATTCATTTGAATTTATTTTTTCAGTACTGAAAAGATCAGTTTAAATGAATTTTGTTTCTAAATGCTTGGCGATATATCAACCCTGCATCAAACATAACAGAATTTGGAAGCGGGTATTATCATTTTCTGAAGAAAATCATATTCCTGTCCATAATCAGTGATAATAAGTAATTGAAAGTAAGTAGCATGAAAAATCTACAGGTATGAAGTAATTCAGTGGAATTAACAATTCTCCAAATATTACAGAAATTTCGAAAAATTAAAAAAAAATCAAAATCTTAAAATTGCAATAGAATGATCAGATTCGAGAAGCATGTATAAAATTGAAATAGAAACAACTTTTTCAAGTAAACTTTTTCGATATTCGAACAAATAAGCCTGAAAGCGCTGAAAGTCAGCGATTAATTTGAAAAAATTTCACTTTTGACATGTAGCGAAAGTCACGTGACCCTGATTGAGTAGGCCATTTCTCATCTTTTTTGAAGCAAAACTTAACGTTCAACTCGAATTCGAAAATAAGTCGTTAATAATAGTTTTTCCCATATGATGCCGACTTTATGAATGACAAAGTTTGTTGATCCGGACCTGGATTTTTTTCGTGACTGATAGGTGAGTCGCCCTGGTATAAAAAGAAGGAATTGTGTACCAAATTGCAAAAGAATATACTAAGTGGTTCGTATAAAAGTTATGTTCTCACAAAGAATTGGGCAAAATTGATAAAACACCCTATATCTCGGATATAAAACTTGCGAGACCCTACAAATATGGTATATTCAGAACCACCTTGATGAGCTCTACCCACCGTTGAAGTTTTTCCGTTTCCCAATGGGACACCCTGTATAAAAGTGAGACATGCTAGGCATGATTCTGTCAGAAGTAAGTCAACCAATTCCTTCTTTAATGTTTCAGAATGTGATTAAAACTTCTGTTGATCAATCAATGCGACAAAGGAGAGAGAAAGAATATTAGTCTTTTCCTTTTTCATTAAATGACAGTAGTTAATGAAAGCAACAGATTAATGAAAAACTCAAATTTCATATTTTCTCTAAGATAAATACAATATGGATGTGACTAAAACACATGTTTTGAGATATCATATTTTTATTCAGTAAAAGGTTAACGAGAAATTAAATACAAGGCGATTAATTTTTTGAAAACTTACCAAGAAACACCTTTATATACATAAAAAAACTTTAACAACAATATCGACAAAATAAAATCAGCTGTTGCTACATTTCTCAGGCGTGCGTAAATTCTACTTGGAATTATTAATATCAATGTTTCCACTGACAAATACTGGGCATTTTCAAAATAATTTGCAACAATATCATGGTTTTTTATGTGTCTAAATGAACAATATTACCCAAAATCCTTATTCATTGGGAATTAAAACGAATACCCCTGTCTATTCATATGATTCTACAAATTATTCTAAATATTATTTTTCAACTCGATTATACAGATCTAATTCTAAAAATTCCAGCTATGAACACAAAATGAATGTCGATTTATAATAAGAAAACACAATTTTCATTCATGCAGGATTTTTTTCTTCTAAACTGGACTGATAATAGAATGTCTACAATTGCATAGCTATCAATGTTTTATTTCAAAACCATAAACGACATTCAAGCTGCAAAATTTTAAATATTTATTTCACGAAGTAGGTACCATTTTGATAATAAATATTTTTATTAGTATAATACATCAACCAGAAATGATTTGTCAGGAAATATCTACTTAAACTGAAACTCTTATGGATTTCTTATCTATTCTTATAATGTTGCATGTTACATCATAAAGCATCTACATATTTACTAATAAAAATTCCACTCTAAAAATTTCACTGGAATATCACAAGGAAACGTAAAAATTGTACAAATACCGTATTTAGTTGCTAAAAATCGTATTCAACAAAGTAAAACTAGTCGTGAAATTCCTAGAGTGGCAAATTAAAAGTAACAAAAAATATAAGTTATATTTCTTTTAAATAATCTAGTTAAAACAGATCGGAATGTACTCGGCTGGGCACTTCAAAATAAATAGTTTTCGCAAGAAAGGCTATCCGTAACCTTAGCAGCCAAGCACAATAAGCAATATGTTCGACGTAAAATAATGTTTAACCATACACGCCAAAATGATTGCAGAAAGGGCCACTGAATCCTTCTATTTTCTAGTACATTCAGAACGCTCTGTTCCGACACGCATGGAATAATTATTTTTATTGAGCCACACCTCAAGTCTCGCCTAACGGCATTCCCATACTTTGACCGTCTGGTCCACGCTTCCAGAGATAACATAGGGATGCGACTTGTGGAAATCTATAAAGAGAACAGGAATGTAACAATATTATCATAGTCGAGAAGTGGTGCTAAAAAAACAATGAGCTGGTACAGGGCCTACCCTATCTCACCGGGCCGGAGCATCGCTTTTGTGACGTCACACTAGGGACAAAATCGACGCGCTGGAAATTGCCTTTTCCAATATTTCAATAATAATCTAATATTAAATAAGATGAATTGATTCGAAATATTTTCTAAATAAATTAAATTAAAAGGAACAAAAAATATGTACTGTCTGTAGGTTAATCTAGGAGGTGGTACATTCATTATACCAAATTTTTTGGGATTTTCTCCTCGTTTCTATAAAATAAAAATATGAATATTATTTCAATATTGAAATAATAAAAAATATGTAGTTTTCATAAACACAATACTGAATGCAAATAATTCTGAAAATATTCAACATAATGAGAGAGAAAAATTACCCAGATATTACAAAATAAAATGTTCGCATAACAAAATATATATATCACAAACTAAAAAATGGGCTCATAGCTTCATATTCATCGGGAAAGTCTGATGATTTTTCTTTTCTTATTATTTGACTAGATCCTGCTACATTTCATTTATAATACCTAATTATTCAACACAATATTCAATATAGTCTTCCTTCCTTTGATTATCAATGGGTGTTCTAGTAATCAGCTAAGTTTAAAGATGAATCACAATAATATGTATTGAAACGAACATTCAGAATGTAATCTCCAAATTAGCAACAACTGAATGGAACATTCAAAAACTCTCTTGTTTCTTTTTCAAGATCCATCGCTAGAATTTCTCGAAACATAATAAAAGTTCTCCAGTTATTACACACCAAGTGTTCGAAAAAAGTGAGAAACTGACAACCGGCACAACCTACTACTTACATATCATATTCCAACAAACCGAAAATATCATTCAATTTGCTCGCCTGAAAACGCTTCTGTGCAAAAGCGCAATGGACGGGAGAATTCATGACATTGACTCATTACACTTGCTGATGGAAACATAAGTAAGAGATATGGCAGGTCCTGAATGCGCATGCTCCAATTCTATCACGTGAATGAAAGCCTTTTGTCTCATGCCACTGAAGACGGCTGTGCTCATGCCAATAACCACGATCTATATTTCAACGCTGAGAAACCCCAAGTAATTCGTTTTCATAATTATAAACAGCCATCAGTTGAATTACAACTGGATTTCAATAAAACAGTCTCTTCTGATACAGATACAGTTAAATTCCTTGGGATTTAAAACACGTCAACTGGGTGTCACGTGTTCTAGTACTCAGAAACAGTACTAGATGTTGGCCAGCTTGTAAATATCTATTATGCACAAATTTACTCGTGTCTTCCTTATGGAATCTGATTGTGGGGCATCTCTACCAAGTCAAAAGAGATATTTTCATTATTCACATTCCTCATAGAGAAACTTGCACACTAATTTTTCAATCTAATACCATTTTGAATTTCGCTATTATATACATATTTGAGATTTCATGTTATATTTATTGCAACATAACCTATCTCAAGCTTAATGAAGACCTTCAAAACATGAATACACACCAGAAAGGCTTAATTCACACACAAATTGGAAGATACAAAATAGCTCAAATTGCACCTAACTTTATATAATGTATTTTCAATCATTTTTCTAAGCTTAAATAAAGTTTGACACTTAAAATTTTCAAAACACTCCTCCAAACATTTTTGGTGCATAATCGTTTTCAAACTGTGCAAGATTCATTCCCGCTAGACCCCAAGATTTATTGATGAAATTAGCTGTTCAAGGAGAATCTAAATATGCAATGAAATAAAGGGTCCCATTTGAAAAAAATCAACTAGTACCTGTTAGGAATTGTGGAATATTGTGACTTTATCTCAGTGTTTCGCCGTTCCATGATGAGTTGATACTTTGTCTAATGTTAATGTTCTGTGAGATATACAAACCTTGGTGTTGAAACATGAAAATGTCATATGTCAATAATTAGACAGTTAGGTTGAAATATATTAATGTAGACAAGTTTTTTGATGGCGTCGTTTCAGAAATAGATAATAAAGTGATTATTCCTTGCAAATACTAAGCAGCCACTGTGTTTTTATCAAGACAAAATCCCTAACTTCAATAGGTTATGGGCCCAGTTTGATATTGAAGGAAAAATAAAAATTGCAAACAGTTTTACAATCCCTAAAGAAACCTAAGAATAGGTGCACATTTGCATGAGGCTACGAACGACAGAGCGAGATGAATAGCTTTACTGTTCCGGTTTTAGAAGCCAATAATTTCAATAATTGGTTATTCAGGATTACAACACTGTTCAAGAAAGAAGGTTGTATGGCAGCACTAGATGAAGAAGAACCAAGTGCAAGTGCTCCAGTAACAGAAAGAGATACCTGGAAAAAGGCAGACGCAAAAGCTCAGGCTATAGTAGTGGCAGGAATATCTGATAAACACCTAGATATAATCAAAGACAGCCCTTCTGCTAAAAAACAAATTGAGGCACTGAGGGCAGTGTTCATTAGATCAAGTTCTTTCACAAAACTGGCATGCTGGCGAAAACTATTGACCTTAAAAGAAGAGGATACAGAGAAATTAGAAGATTTATATTTAAAATTCGACACAATTATAAGAGAGTTAAAAGAGCATGGGACAGAACTGAATGATAGTGATAAAGTCTGTCACCTATTACTGTCTTTACCAAGTAAATATGATAATGTTGTCACAGCACTAGAAACAATTGATCAAGTCAAATTGGATTTTGCCAAAGCACGATTACTAGATGAAGAATTGAAACTGAAAGCTAAACATGAAACAGAAACAAGCTTCAAAGCATCCACTGGGTGTTTCAAGTGCAATAGCCCCCACCATTGGCAGGCAAACTGTCCACTACTTAGAGGTGGTAGTAGTAGAGGTAGAACTGGGTATAGGAGAGCAAATACAAGAGGCCGAGCAAGAGGTAGGCAGTATTTCAGAGGCAACCCTCAACAACAACAAAATCAGAATCAACAAGCTCATAATGTTGAACAACAAGAGGAAGAGATACAATTATATGCAGCGAATTTATGTACTGAGAGAGAAGATGGAAAAATTTCATTTGTGATTGATTCAGGGGCAAGCAATCATTTTGTTAAAGAAGATCTAGAGAAATACATGACAGATATTATAAGCTTAGAACACTCTGTAATCATTCATATTGCTAATGGTGAACAATTAGTAGCCAAGAAAAGAGGTATTTTGAAAACAAGAATTCAAGGACAAATTCTCAACATTGAAGCATTGATTGTACCAAAAATGAAGCACAATTTATTATCAGTTTCCAAGTTAACTTCAAGAGGTCATAGAATTATTATAGAAAAAGAGAAAATGCTCATAAATGTGAAAAATATCCCCTTGATAAGCGAAAATAGAAATGGGCTCTACATACTGGTGGTGGATAGTATTATGAATGAAGAAAAGAGAGAAAGTTGCAATTTGGCACTAGATAAAAATTTATGGCATAGAAGACTGGGCCATGTTGGCACAGATTCCCTGATGCAGTTAAATTTAGAAATACCCAATGGTGTGTGCTCAACATGTGCAGAAGGAAAAGGAACTAGATTACCATTCCATAAGTCGGAGAGAGAAACAAAAGCCATTGGAGAACTAGTACATAGTGATGTGTGTGGCCCAACAAATCCATATTTCCAAACCATATTGGATGATTATTCACATTTTACTGTGATAAAGTTACTGAAGACCAAAGGTGAAGCAGGTGAAAATTTGAAAGAATATGTGATGGAAGTAGAAAGACAATATGAAGTTAAAGTGAAGGCTTTCAGATTGGACAATGGAGGAGAATTTGTTTTACAAATGTTCAAAAACTTCTGCAAACAGAAAGGTATTTTATTGGAATACACATTGCCACATACTCCACAATATAATGGCAAGGCAGAGAGGTTGAACCGAACCTTGTTGAACAAAGTAAGGACAAAAATTATAGACTCTGGGATACCTAAAGAATTGTGGGGTGAAGCTCTTAAATGTTCAGTTTATGAATTGAACCGTACACCCACCTCAGCTCTACCAAAAGGAGAAACCCCTTCCTCACTAAGGCATGGCAGAAATGATTTGAGCAAACTAAGAATTTTTGGATGCCGAGCATGGTATACCATCCTTCCAAAAGGTGGTAACAAATTAGATCCCAAAGCAGAAAAATCCGTCATGGTAGGATATACAGGAGGTGGATGGAGGCTATGGTCACCAAAAGAACAAAAAGTTGTCAGGTCCAGAGATGTTCGATTTGATGAATCAATAATGGAATTTAAAGTACCAAAACAAGAAAATGTGATCATGGAACCACAAAAAATCGAAACTGAAACGTTTTCAGAAGAAATTGAAGATCAAAAGGTGACTATGGATCGAAATGATACAGAAGAACCAAATATACAGAATGAATTAGAAGGTCCTGTAGACCCAATGGAAGCAGTGACAACCAGATCAGGAAGAACAGTGAACAAACCAACAAATTTCAACGATTATGAAATGTATGTTGCTATCCTCAACCAAAGAAGAACCACAAACATTCAAAGAAGCTTTTGAGAATGAAGATTGGAGGGAAGCTATAAATAAAGAGCTGAAATCGCACGAAAACCTCCAAACGTGGATTCCTACAGACTTACCCATGAATACAAAAGCTATAGAGACAAGGTGGATTTTCAAAATCAAAGAAGATGGGACTAGAAAGGCCAGACTAGTAGCAAAGGGTTTCCAAGTACCCTATGATGGAGAGGAATTTGACTATGCACCAGTATGCAGAATAACAACAATAAGACTTCTGTTGTCTATCACAGTACAGAAAAATTGGACAATCAAACAAATTGATGTACCTACAGCCTTCCTTAATGGCACATTAGATACTGAAGTATATATCAAGAAGCCGGAAGGCCTGGATAGTAAAAATATTTATTTTAAATTAAGTAGAGCCTTGTATGGACTGAGAAATTCACCGAAATGCTGGAACATGAAGTTCAATGAAATAATGTACAAATTGAACTTCAGACGATCTGACTATGACTACTGTCTATATTTCAAAGAAAATGTCTATCTGGTGTTGTACGTGGATGATGGACTTATAGTGGGTACCGAAGATCAGGTGGATTCATTGATTAATAGTCTCTACAATGAATTCAAGGTAAAAAGTATACAAAAAGTGAAGTCTTTCCTTGGAATGGAAATTGAAAACACAAATGAAGCTTTAAAGGTACACCAAATGCGAATGATTGACAAATTGTTAAAAGAATTCAATATGGAGAACACAAAATCAATCACCACACCCATGGAAGTTGGTTTCAGCGTTCAGGAAGATGAAGAAATTTTGTTGAATATTCCTTACCGAAGATTAGTTTGTACCTTGATGTACATATCCATTATGACAAGACCTGATATTGCTCAAAGTGTGACAGTTTTGAGTAGATATCTAGACAAACCTACTGCAAGCACTTGGAATGCAGCAAAAAGAATATTGCGTTATCTCAATATGACTAAAGACTATGTCCTGATTTTTAATCGAGGAGACACTGGACTCATTGCTATGTGTGATGCTGACTGGGCTGGAGATAAACAGACCAGAAAAAGCGTGAGTGGATTCATAGCTTTTCATAACAACAATCCGATTGCCTGGTTTTCACGAAAGCAAACCTGTGTTGCCCTCAGCTCAATGGAAGCTGAATATGTTGCAGCAGCACAAGCAGCACAAGAGCTTGTCAATCTCAAGGGACTTCTAGGCGAGTTTGGTGAAAACCAACAAATATTGTTAAGAATTGATAATTTGAGTGCTATTGCCACCATTAAAAATTTTCAAAATTCAAAGAGATGCAAACATATAGAAATTAAATATCACTACATCAAAGATCTGTGCTTGAAGAAGGTATTTATGATTCAATACATTTGCTCTTCTGAAAATTGTGCAGATATGTTTACTAAATCTTTGCCAAAAGATAAATTTGTTAAATTTAGGAATAGTATATTGTTGAATAATCAATAGGTAATAGTAGGAGTTGAGATTAAAAAAAAAAAAAGTTTTTGTTAGATAGGTATCTTTATTTAGCAAATAAAATGTACTATATATTTTGAAATTGTTGAAAGTATGTATAGTACTTTTTATTTGAGGGGGAGTGTTAGGAATTGTGGAATATTGTGACTTTATCTCAGTGTTTCGCCGTTCCATGATGAGTTGATACTTTGTCTAATGTTAATGTTCTGTGAGATATACAAACCTTGGTGTTGAAACATGAAAATGTCATATGTCAATAATTAGACAGTTAGGTTGAAATATATTAATGTAGACAAGTTTTTTGATGGCGTCGTTTCAGAAATAGATAATAAAGTGATTATTCCTTGCAATTACTAAGCAGCCACTGTGTTTTTATCAAGACAAAATCCCTAACTTCAATAGTACCCTGCAGATGGTTTGTTTCTAGCGCCCTGTATTTTCTGATGTAGCGGAAAACAAATTTCTGAAAAATCATTTCAGATGAATTTCAAAATCTTGAGACATCGATTAAAAAATGAGTGAGCTATAGGGGAAGGACATTCATGGTGAATCACCCTGTACAAACTGAATATTACATCAATCATCCTTCAACACAAAGACTCACCTAATGATGTGCAGAAGTGTTTATGGGCATCCAGAGTTTTTGTACAGCGCTTGTTTCTCAAATCCCACACCCTCAATGTCTTGTCATCGCTAGCCGATACCAAGAACTTTCCCCCAGGGTGGAATACCACTCCTCTCACCCAATTATCGTGCCCTGTAAGAACGAATAGGGCCACGCCTGCTCCCACATCCCATATCCTGAAAAAAATATGAGAAAAATTTGATACCTAATGGTAATCACAAGTAGGGTCCCTTGAACTGACGTATTTGTCATCTAACAGGATACGGACAGAACATAGCTCCTTTCTCCATATGAAGAGATCCCACAAAATTTTAATTTCATACTTGATCTTAATACGACATTATTCAATTCAGTTTTGGAAGGATGGTAAAATGTGCTGTGTTAGGCTGTATCAATCAGTAAACAATCTGACCTAACTCGGCCTATTATATTATTATTATCCAAGGAGAGTTCTGATGATGGCTCCCCCATCATCAAACCTATGCTGAAAAGAGTGGACAGGGTGATGAAGGAAAAATCGGCATACGCGAATGTTCCACCAAAACATTCCACAAGAAATATGAGGAATAAATAATGTTGGTCATTTTATCGAATTCTTTATATTTATATTGTATAATAGAAGATTTATTTAACCATCAATCAGTTGGATGACAAATTTGAATTTGTCAGCTTACCATCAAATGCAAATGAACTTAGAACATGGAAAGTGAAGTGACCGAATGGGGAAAATTGGTAAATACATCAGCAAAATATGATTATAAATAAATATCATCACATATTATACTTTCTCATTGTGCCTATAATTATCCACTCCACAAGTTCTTGAATGCATTAGTAAAAACAGTTTTGATTAAAACGGAGGATTAAAAGAAGAGGCATATGCCTTACCATTTTAAAAATTATACCTACATTCAGGAAATATTAAGTGTTTGTGAAAGACTGCAAAAATGATTCCCAACATAAATATATGTATACAGCGCACATGACATAGGAGCACATTAGTTTAAATAAGTAAGTACATGATTATATACTTATAGGTAATCATTTCATCATTCAAAATATATCAACAACTATAAATTGGCAAACAAAGAATGGTATTTGTAGAAAAAACATAGTGAAATAATATAACTAATTTTGTCCAATTCGCTCAGAAATAATAAGTTTTGTTTTACTTTATTTTTGAATGTAACCTATATTTCTGCAGTTTTTGATGTTGGCAGGTAGTTTATTGAATTCAGTGAAGGCTGAATGAGTGAATCTTTTTGAATCTCTTGTCTCAAAAATTCAAAAATGATATAATATACAGGGTGCTCCATTATAAAATTCAAATCCGGAGCCATTTCCGGTGAAACCAGAAGTGGCCGGGAAGTGGAAAAATATGCGAAAACTTTATATAAAATTTGTCTAATAGATTCGTTGACACCCGGTAAGTAGAATCATTTGATGCTATTTATATTAATAGCTGACCCAGCAAACGTTGTTTTACCATAAAAATTATTTGTAGAAAAAATTTCTTTAGATAAATATTAATCAAAAAAAATTTTCAAACTACTATTTATTGCAATAGCTGATGCCCGGAAAACGTTGTTTTGCTATATACATTTATTTCTAGAAAATATTTTTCCACTTAAATATATTCATCAACAGAACATGTGTGTTCAATTATAGTTCTTCCAACTACTATTCATTACAAAACTTTTTCGCCACATTGGATCCGTCATCTTGAATTTCCTAATTTTAAAGAATAAAATCATAATCACAAAACTCGTCCGTCATATTGGATCCTTCATATTTAATTTTCTTATTTTGATAAAAGAATCATTATCTACGACTCCAGAAACCTTCAGATACCAATTCAAAATAGAATCTGATCATAATTGAAAAACTGAAATATAAAACAAACAAGTCAATTAGTTGTAGAAATTGTGAATTTTTGATTCCTTACATATATCATAAAATTTCAAATGATATCATGAAAACAAAGTCACTCCAATCCTATACGATGAGAATAAAAAACTGGATATTAGACTCCCCTAAAAATGATTTTATCTATCTATTAAATAAAATTCATAATTAATTAGAAACATCTAAATGATAATCGTGAATAAGTATATATAAATATAAATAATTATGCGAATTGAATGACATGCTGAGTACACTATATATGAATTATATACATGATGTCTCATTTCCTAATGAGACAATTTTTCCCTTGTGATAATTTGATATTGTTAAATATTTATTGACCTATGTACAATTGTTTTTTATCCTTACTACAAGGTTCACTTTGTAAGGTTTTCCCAGTTTATTCAAAATACCTATCTGTGTGTTCCAATGTGAATTTTGTAAACGTGTTTTAATAAACTCATATTATTATATCAGATCCGCCATTTCGAATTTCCTAATTTTGACGAAGGAATCATAATCTCCGACCTCGAAAAAAACGGGTTACCAATTTTGATAGAATCTGACCATAATAACAAGTCGTCCGCCATATTGGATCCGCCATCTTGAATTTCAAAATTTCGATGAAAGAATCATAATCTCCGACCCCGAAAACCCCAAGATACCAATTTTGAATAGCCACTCACCTGATCGACTTGTCCCTGGACCCCGACGCCAAGAACGGCCCCGCGCGAGCGCCCTTCTTGTTGTCGACGCCGGCCGCCTCGTTGATGGCGGCGGCGGCGCAGTCGGGCGCCCAGACGACGCACTCGACCACGTGGTCGTGCGCGCGCAGCTCGGCGCGGCATTCCTTCGAAGCCGCGGCCCACACGCGCACCGTCTGGTCGTTGGAGCAGCTGGCCAATAGGGTGCCGTCTGGGGAGGAGCGGACCATCCGCACCTGCGACGAGAGACGGAGGGAACGGTGTCAAAAACAAGGTAGGAATAATGTTATCAAAATTGATTCAAGGATCAACGTATAGGCATACAAAAAGAGAGGAGACGCAATTGTTTTCATCCCACATCGTCTTCCGCAGAATACGATGATGACCAAATTTCTGCGGATTGACCTAGATCTACCGCCTGTGTTTGAAAACGAGGGAAGCATTAATCATACATTAATTTTATAATATATATTTTTTATGTACAGTACAACTTCGATAGTTCGGACAGTCGCTAGCCCGGGCGCTCCAGTAATCCTGGCACTGCTGTTATGGGCATTCTGAAGATTTTACCTCTGTAATTCGGGCGCAAAAATATTCGTATAACAGGGTGTTTCATGAGAAGACTCAGATAGCCAAATGGTTAACACGTTGACTGCCGGGCTCATATACACACTGTTGGTATCAGAGCCGAAGCAAAATCAAAAATTTTGTCCCAGAAACCATGAGTGACTCTATGTAGCTGAAGCCTACAGAAGATAGTATATCGTTGAAATTCTTGAAAATTGGGACACTGGATCCAAAAAATTGAAGAAATTTGGCTTGGTCTTATAGACCGAGTCGGCGCTCGTTTATACATGTATACCCGTGTACGCCGCGTCGGTCCGCTAGCTCGGTCCGTCTGGGTTCGGCCTCGGTCTAGTGCTGTGTCTGATGAGGACGATATACAATATAAACTTGTCACTGAAGCCGTCTTGGTCGCTCTCCGCGATATTATTAACAATAATTCAGACCGACGGCTTCACGGGCGGTTCAATTGACTCGGCCCTATAGGCCGAGCCGGCCTGGTGTATCAACTCCAATCTTGGTCTATGAGACCGAGGCGGCACGTCAGGATATTTCTTTCTCGGTCTAATAGACCGACATGGCAGTCAACGTGTTAATGGGGAATATCAAGACGAGTTGATGTATATATATGAAAACATTTTTTGACCCTCCATAACGAAGATACAGGGTATTATGTGTAATTGTTATATAACTTTGATGGCCGATATTACAGAAATGATTCATCGTAATCTGCTGAAATTTGGCAGCGACGTATCTCTACTGAAACTATTCAAGATAACATATGAGAAAAAATATCCAGGTCCGGACTTGGGAAAATTTCATGTTTCATTGTTATGTCAAAAAAGTTCACTTTGTGACCACTTTTCTCGAAAAATTCCATCAGATTCAGAAAGATCAGACAAAATGCTATAAGAACTGCTCTTCAATTTACACGGCACACTTTGACCGGTTCAATAAAAAAGTATGGATCAAAAACGCTCGAATGAATTTTCAATTTTGACCTGGCTGATAACTTTTAACTTTCAACTAGATTCGTGTAAATTGATTTTTTTGTAAATTTTCATGGGATAGAAATTGACAGAAGAGATGAGTTCTGATTTTTTTATGATTTGACATGTCAGTTTTTGAACGAACTTCGAGATGGATATGATTACTTGTGACTCTATATTATAAATTTGTTATAAAGTAGGACCTGATTTTATTTCATGTAACGTGGCGTTTGTTGATATAGGTAAACACTGGTAATCGAAATATTCTTGCACCTAGGTGCCACTTCATATTTCAAATGCTGAACAAGACGAAAATCCAAATACTGTGCTATGTTTAATATCATAGAATATTTCCAGACCCAAGAATACTTTGCAGTGAAACCTTCACGAGGATGAACATTAATAGGAATTTTGAATAAATAGCAGATGCATCCTTTTATCACTTGCAGAAATGTATCAATAACAAAAAATGGAGCTGAGTTTATGCGTGATGGCATAACTAATTTGATAAATCTCCATAATATGGGCACTTGAATCCTCATGTCGTAATTTCATCAGTTGGTATATACCTACCTAGAACTAGCCTAGTATCTATACCTATCAGTTCGGATTATCAACAAACGTCTCGTCTCGTCACACAAATGGAAAAGAGGGCCTACTAGATATCTTATCATTACTTTAAATAAAACAAAGTCAGGAATAATATCTATCTGGAATTTCAATAAAAAAATATCGTGTTTTTTCTTCTCATCTATTCTTCTGTCAATTACTATTCAACAAAAATGTAGGAGAAATCAATTCACATGATACCAGTTGGAAGTTGACAGTTATCAGCCAGGTCGAAATTTGAAATTCATTGGAACGATTTTGTTTCATATTTTTTATTGAACCGGTCAAAGTGTGCCGTGTGAATTGAAGAGCAGTTTTTATAGCATTTTGTCTGATCTTTCTGAATCTGATGGAATTTTTCGAGAAAAGTGGTCACAAAGTGAACTTTTTTGACATAACAATGAAACATGAAATTTTCCCAAGTCCGGACCTGCATATTTCTCTTCATAATATGTTATCTTGAATAGTTTCAGTAGAGATACGTCGCTGCCAAATTTCAGCAGATTACGATGAATCATTCCTGTAATATCGGCCATCAAAGTTATATAACAATTACACATAATACCCTGTATATTCGTTATGGAGGGTCAAAAAATGTTTTCATATATATACATCAACTCGTCTTGATTTCCCCTATTAACCATTTGGCTATGTGAGTCTTCTCATGAAACACCCTGTATATGTACATACATACAATATAACAGAATTTTTGTCTAAACAAGCAGAAACGTTTTTGTTTAATTTGAAAACAGTCTGCATTTGGTTTTTAAGCGTGCAGGAGGTAATGGCTCCAAGAAAACGACCACATAACACACTAACACTCGCGCAGAAAACTGAAATATTATATGACATTGATGTGAGAAAGAGTACACGTGAAATTGCAGAGATATTTTCTGTTCCAAAATCTACAGTGTTTGACATAAAGAAAAACATATTTCAACATAATTTCAAGGGACAGGTAGGAATATCAATATGAACATAATGTTCTACGAGTTTACTTTATTTGATTTATTTTTATAGGCAAAAGGGTAGTTGTTAAGAAAAGCAGAGCATTCTGAACTTGAAGTCGCATTGTATAATGGGTTTCTACAACGCAACGCACATGGACCTATTTCATCAGAAATTTTAAGAACAAAAGCTAAACAGTTTTATGGATAAATTACAAGGAAAATGGAATCTTTAGCAAGTTCTGGATGGCTAGATAAATTCAAGCTGAGGCACGGAATTCTTTTTTTGAAGGTCTGTGGCGAAAAACTTTCCAGTGATGTTGCCGCCGTAGAACCGTTTAAAGAAAATTTTGATGTTGAAGAGATGGGATTAAGCAATGAACAAGTATACAATGCTGATGAGTCGCAATTTTTTGAAGAACTCTGCCAGATACCACTTGGGTTCAACAAGATGAAAAAAAGTACATACAATATTCAGCTGTTCAATTATAATAGTTATGTATCTAAGCTACATATTTTATAAGAGAATCTATTTTTTTATTATTAAGTATTTTATAATAATCTAATCTAATCACTGCAGCAATCCGGAGGTCCCTATAGTCCGAAACGCTATCTGCCCGGACTATCGAAGATATACTGTATATATATTCTGTATGTTTGTTCCTATATTGAAATCTATTAAAATAATTTAGATTTTCCTAATTTCATCATCATGTAATGAAATTATAATGTATTATGGACATAACTGTGGCGACGCTGTATTGGCGTGTTTACTACGAGTGACGCATATCTTTCTTAGTCATTCACGTTGTGTTTTGATTGATTTTCAGTGTTTTCTTGTTACAAAACTATTAGACAGAAAATTCTAGTTAGTCTAGTATGGTTAGCCAGTGCGTGGATTGTGAAAAAGTTCACCATTCCAACCCCAAATTTGTATTTCGACGGTAAGTAAAGTTCTGATTCTTTCAACTTCAACAGTGGTGTAGTTATCGCAGATTATTCAACGAAATAATTGAAAGAAAAGTTGTTTTCCTCCGATTGGCAGCAAATATTAATTTTGCTGACACATATCAGTCAGCAAAGTATTACTTTTCCTGCCTAGGCAGCAAAGTGAGTACTTTGCTGCCTAGGCAGCAAAGTGGTTACTTTGCTGATTGATATGTATCAGCAAAATTAAAAATCTATAAATCGTTCATAATTTCCTTCATATTTCATCCGAGACTTCTCCGGCAACAAATTCAACTCTATATTTTTTGCCATCTCTCTTATTAATGGAGGTGTAAGTATACTTCCAGGTCGCTTTCACTGTCCATTATATAATAATTTAAATATACCGATATTGTTTCGCACAACTGTCAGAAATTTCATGAATTGTCAAACCAACAACTGCGATTTCTATCAAATTTTATTTTAATTGAACACTAAACAGGAAGAATAAAGAGATTGTAGGAATTGTATTAATTCGCAAACACAATATTCTCCCATATCATTATGAACAATCGGAGAAAAAATCATATGTTCAACTCGGCAGCACAGTAGATTGACTGCCTTTGCTGGATTCCTAGCCTCGCTACGCTCGGCTATGAATTCAGCCACGGCAGTCAATCTACTACTTTGCTGCCTAGTTAAACAAATAACTATTCTTATGTTCACATTCCATTGAATGATGGATCAAATTTAGGTATGTACCTAAGGTACTACAAATTTGTATTAAAATTAAAAGAAAAGTGTGTACATTGACGCACAGTTAACAGCGTTGCCATTTTTTAAAGCCATCTTTGTTTTACCTATAAATAACTCTGGAAGTATGTATGATTGTAATCAACTAGTGTTTTATGAATGAAATCTCTTCTCATTTCTTAGTCAGTGCGGTACTAGATTTGCCAATGGTATTGGAACATGTAGAGGTAGGAAAATACACAGAGCCTTTATCCAAGTAGAAAACACATTTTTGTCCTCGTCTGGCGAAACTATGATCGCTTCTAAATCGTTTCTGGCTATGTTTCACTGTCACTGTTTGTCGAGTGTCCTTACTCTAAATATACAAAAATGTCAATTCAAAAGTGTTAAGTACATTATGGAACTATACTGCGCATCGACCGCGAGTTGTAATGGGGGCACTTGCCAAATTTTCTATGACCATGAACTTACTTGTTTAGGATCAATATTATACTGAGCATGAAAGTAAAGAATAAGAGCAACAAGGGGAAATCTTAGGACAATTATAGAGGAATGGAGTTGAAGATAAAAGTACTGCTCTGAACAATCAAGAAAGGATCGAGAGGCTCACTAGATTTAATAGGATAACAAAATATGGTAGCAAACTTTCTGAAGACCTGAATTCTTTCACTGAGACCATCCTACATACCATTTTGCATGATATATCTAAGATGTCAGATGTCATTCAAATCGTCACAAAACCAGACTGTCAACTCTCGAAAAAGTTTCAGATTGTCTTTCAAGGAAAGTTCAAACAAAGGTTCTCCCATCATCGAAACCATGTCGAAAAAAGTAGACAGGATGATGAAAGAAAAAGCGGCATACGCGAATGGTCCATCAAACCGATCTACGAGAAAAATGAGGATTACATAATCTCGGTCGTTTCATCGATTTTCCTATATTTATATGGTTTAATGATTTGATATTTTAATTGAATATACTTGTTCCAACACTCACCCAATCCCTGTGGCCAGTGTAAGTCTTGACGCAATACCCCGTTGACACCTCCCACATTTTGATGGTCTTGTCGCGGCTGGAGGAGACGACGAAATCCCCGCCCGGCATGAAACAAACCCCCGACACGTTGTGGTCGTGCCCCAGCATCGTCCTTACGCACTCGTAGCTCTGCTGGAAGTCCCACAGCTTCACGCTCATGTCGGCGCTGCAGGACGCCAGCAGCTTGCCGGACGCGTCGAAAGCGATGTCCTGGAATAATATCAAGAATCGCTCGTTGAAGTTTGCGTACGAATGGAATACACACATCCACCGTAATAACCGTGTACGAACTATTCGGCCGATCGAAAAGATTGATGACAATCCTCCATATTTGTTTACGTCTCGCAGCGTCCTCAACGGTCGTTTAAATCGCGAATAAATATACAGAACCGTCCGCCTGACACGTTGTGGTCGTTGCCTAAAATCGTTCTTATGCAGTCATAGCTCTGCTGGAAGTCCCACAGCTTGACGCTAATGTCGGCGCTGCAGGAAGATAAAAGCTTGACGGTCGCGTCGAAAGCGATGTCCTGGATTGATATGAAGAATCGCTAGTTGAAGTTTGCGAACAATATTTAAAAAAACACACATTCGCCGTAATAACCGTATACGAACTAACGCGCCGATCGAAAAGATCAACGACAATCCCCCATATTTGTTTGTCCCGTAGCGCCCTCAATGGTCGTTGAAATCGCAAATATACAAAAACTTCCGCCCGACACGTTGTGGTCGTTGCCTAGAATCGTCCCTACGCAGTCGTAGCTCTACTGGAAGTCTCACAGCTTGACGCTAATGTCGGCGCTGCAGGACGCCAGCAGCTTGCCGGACGCGTCGAAAGCGATGTCGTGGAATTATATCAAGAATCGCTTTTTGAAGTTTGTGAAGTGTAGGCCCATAAGCAGCAAATCCATCTCTATAAAGTGCAAGAAGCATTTCATGTAACAATTGAGGAAACAACGTTTTTAAGGTATTTCGACCCCGCTGAATAGGAATCTGCCTGTTGCCAAAGCGAAATTTGGACGGAGAGTCTGGTATTCAAGATGACGGCCAAGATAGCCTACCCTATATATTCATTTTCGTTTGGCTTAAAATATTGATTTTAACGACAGCTTAGTGGTTTTCTCTGATGCTTATCATATTGAAATGCTCAGAAATTACTTATCCTAAGCCTGGAGTGCGTGGGTTCCGGAATGGCGACCAAGATGGTCGCCGAAACTTTGTTGTTTACGTGTTCTAGTATTTCGAATGCAATATCTATCAGATAGACAGTTTTCAGTGGTTAAATGTATACCTAATACGTCGACTACTGTATTTGTCACATATTATGGCTTGAGAACGCCATGATAGAGAGATATGGATTTGTGTATCCTCTAGTACTTGTGCCTCTCGAAGGACCCAGTCGAGATGCCTAATTATTAGGGAATGCACAAATCTGCCCTCCAGAATCGTCGTCATCTCGATACGTCACCAGGGCTCGGACTGACTGTGTCGACATTAGCAAGTGTGTTTTCTGCCAAAGCGATAAAAGCGAAGCACTGAGGCAGGTGATGTCAAAGCCAATTAATGAGACTATAAGATTATCACCACCAACTGTTCTTTCACATTAATTGTATGCCGTGCTCGATAGCATCTGAAGTGAAATACCACAGTCTGTGTATAGTGAAGGCCGAGAGGATACAGAAGGAAATACAGATGCAGATGAAGGAGCCTGGCAAAAGTAATTTACCTATGATCCAAATTTGCAAAGACCTCAAAGTCTCAGCCTCACTGGGTCACGTTTTGCAACTCTCAAATGGTTGGGAAAGATATGTTCACCTGGCGAGAACAATCGACGTTGAGATCATAGATAAATTGCAAAACAACATCAAGGACTCGTTCTTCTTCTTCCAGCCCTTGAACAAGGACATCACAGGAAGGCAGACTCTCCTTATACCCCGGAAGTTTTCGGCCAAGGTGACTGCGGATGTTACTTTAGGAGAAATCGATCAAGATGTCTCGATTCCAAGACAAGTGCTCAATGATGACTTTTCAATTCTTGTCCATGCTGCGCTTCTTCTTAGAGGATAGCTGCAAGATTCACCTGGTCATTCAGGGCTTTATGTTTCCCAAGGAAAGGCTGCCGCAGTTATACCGAAAAAATCTTGATTTGTTCCTGAGCGTACTGATAGGTGGAGAAGAAGTTCTCGACGTCGTTGTGGAGACTCCACCAAGACGAGTACATTCTCATTCTCATGACACTTGAGTCCGTTCCCAGAGCCTGCACGGATATTTCAACATGCAATTGTTCGTCCCATCGTCCTACTGCCTGACAACAATGTCCACGTGCAAAAAGAATGGACTGACTTGCACCAAGTTGTGCCACCGTTTTCACCTATGTCTTAACTCTTCTAATAGTTGATTAATTATCATTTTTGTATTATTGCCTTCAGCTATCGACACTAGGACGATCTTTCCATTATCTTTTTACAATCCTGCAATAAACAATGTTTTAACTCTGAATTGGTTGTTTTCTTTACTTCCTTCGGCGGCCATCTTGAAGCCCATGCACTCCAAACTTAAGGTAAGTAAATTTGAAGTACTACTACCAAGCATCTGAGAAAACCCCTGAGCTAATGATTGAATCAGTATTACAAGCCAACGGACCTGGGAGATAAGAGGCAACAGAGTGACCACCATCTCGGCCGCCATCTTGGATACCGGACCTCCGGTCCAAATTTCGCTTTGGCAACAGGCAGATTCGTATTTAGCGAAATACCCTTAAAACGTTGTTTCCCCAACTGTTACATAAAATGCTACTTGCATTGTCAATTTTTGAAAACGTGCCTAGTCCAAATATGCACTTGCCCTGTTCTTGCACCAATACATAGTATACTAATTATACACGGAATGATCAATATAAAATAGGAATGTGGCGTGTGTAACACTCTAGAACTCGAATCATTATTTTCGATTCTTCCCATACCTGTATTGAATCCGTGTGGCCCTTCATGGTACGCTCGTACTCGCCAGTCTCGAAATCCCACACCTTAAGGGTGGCATCTTCGCTGGCCGACACCATTAGACTGAACACCGGATGAAAGATCACTCGGGTGACTGGCGCTCGGTGGCCTGGAACGAAAATTCATAACATAAGATCATTACTGGACGAATTTATGTGTTTTGTTGTATTTTGTACACAGAACTCATAACCTTTATCTATACTAATATTATGAAGAGGAAAGATTTATTTGTTTGTTTGTATGTATCTATCGAATAGGCTCCGAAACTACTAGATCGATTTGGCTGAAAATTGGTGGGGAGGTAGCTTAGAACCAGGAGAAGGTTATAGGATACTTTTTATCCCGGTACCATTAGGAAATTCAAGATGGTGGATCTAATATATCGGACGAAGAATGCACAACCAAAAAGTAGCCAAAAGTTTAGGAAACAGTTTCGTCAAAACTACTCGTGCGATTTGGACGATTTTTGTTTTGAATGACAGGTTATCTCCTTCTGAACAATGGTGTGCAAACTGTAATCGCATAGAAAACTTTTTTATAAATACCGGGTGTATTTTTATCCCGGTACCATTAGGAAATTCAAGATGGTGGATCTAATATATCGGACGAAGAATACACAACCAAAAAGTAGCCAAAAGATTAGGAAACAGTTTCGTCAAAACTACTCGTGCGATTTGGACGATTTTTGTTTTGAATGACAGATTATTTCCTTCTGAACAATGGTGTGCAAACTGTAATCGCATAGAAAACTTTTTTACAAATACAAGGTGTAGCAATGTAAGCATGTTTTTTTCATGAAATTCGTAATACCCTGCGGAGTGTAACAGTCAAGTTATCAAGTTGAAATTGAAAGTACAATATTCCTTTTTTGGATTCACTCCCATTATCTTTCCTATTTCTCCAGAAACACAATCTCATGATTTTATTGAATTCAATTGGCATTATAAGCACGAAAGTAGCAGGATATGGTCTGGGAAGGCATTTATTTGACTGGTCGCATGGAACTTGTGATCATCAATGGGAGCGCTGTAAGGTACATATTGGTGATTTTAGAACCTCATTTATAATGTAAGGATTTTTGTTGAAGCTAGGGTCGAGTTCCGATATTACTGAAATACTGGTGAGTCAGTGATAACGGAACGAGTTGTGTTTCAGTAAACTACTATTACTGTGGAATAACGGAACGAATATCTAGCAGTTGGTAGGGATATATCGTTATTTGGCGGGAAGATATGAGAATAGAAATAATAAATTTATTTAAAGTTTTATGTATGTATACCTACTATTTAAGTAAAAAATGTATGCTCTCGGTCTAGCTACTGCAGAATTTTTTGATTCTTGGTCTGATGACGCACGGCAGAGACTGATGATTCAAATTTGGGATGACCTGGACAATGGAAGATGAGATTAGGTCTCTCATTTTGATAAGTTTTTCGTGTCCGCGGCGAAAATACCCGCTACTGAGTCTTTTGTTCAACTTGTGACTGCACATTGTTTTTTCGTTATTTAATTTGGATATTAATTTTCGATAAAATCATGTTACGCTATGAAATGGTGTTTCTCGAGTAATAGGAAAGATACTAAAGCGAATCCAAAAAAGAAATGTTAAATAAAGATGAAGCTAAAGTGTGATTTCAATTCTAACCCGATAGTGTAACTATTTTGTACCTCCTCGCGTACTAGGTCGCCTACTAGGTTGTGTAGAAGATAGAAATCTATAGGTATAAATATAAATATGCTTGTTATCATTCATTGGTATCATTGCACGATTATGTAATTTTTTCACTATTCAGGAAAGATAGCCGAATGCCAGAGTGAGGCACACAATGATAAACTTTCAAACTTGTATTGTAATGTATTATCTGCTAATACATTTGCAGAGCATGATGAATAGGAATCGAAATTCAAATCAATCAACATTTTTTCCCGAGAGTGATTGCGTTTTGTAATTTGTATTGAACCGTGTTTACTTCGAAATTTGGGATTGGCAAAACAAAACACAGTAATGATAAGAATGAGTAAGAAAGTAAACAATGGAAGTAAATATTGTACAATAACAGGAATAGCAACACTGATTAAAAGTTAATTTCATGATTTTTGTTTGAATCTGCGATTAGAGGTCCATAAAAATAACAAGTTCCCATCGTTCAAGTTTGAACCCCTTGTTGAATGTCAACAAATGATAGTTTTAGTTATATAACAGAGAGATGAAAATTGTGTATTTCTTGAAGAATGGTTGAAAAAATAACTGGACATAATAACAGATTACTGAGGAGGTGTTGATACCTGAAATGAGTTCATTCGAATGAAATCATATAATCGGTTTGTGAGAGATGTATGTATAATATACATACATTTCTCTGTATATCCCAGACATCATGTGGATATGGATGATTTTCGATAGTACAGTTCAATTTTCATTTCAATACTGAATATATTGGTAAGTTATATATTTTTTATATCATTATATATCATATTATTTATCCGATCTGAATGCAAATCCTCAACTTCAGAAAGTATTTGTTTTCTGTTGAATATACCGAGAAAAGATATTTATCATCATCACAGAGAGAATGCGAATTCTCAATGTATTTCTTTAAATGTATTAATTTCTTCATGTTCATAATATATCTGATTATATTCCTTTACAATAATTTCATGATATTACTTAAAAAATTCTAATCCACTCAAAATATCAATGAAGTTTTCCCAAAAATAACTCATAAATAACTTAATTCAAGGCTACTTCGATTTTTATTTTCATTATAGAATAGGTAAGCATAGATAAGTATAGGGTAAGCATAGGTATTTCATCATGAAAACATATTTCGGTGTCGAGAATTTATTTATCAATCACAATAATATATGAACATAAAGGAGAAAACATGTTAAGTATAACAAAGAAAATGAAATAATCAACTTCCTATTATTTCAGAATTAGGTTATCTGCCTGAGTAGATGTCATGTGCATATTAAGTGTCTGAAAGTTAACAATATTGTGTTTACCAATTACTCCTATTTTCTACTGATTATTCAAACATAAGCTATATGAATGAGAACAACCCAACACCTAACAAATAAGATGGAAAGAAAAGAAGAAGAAAAAATGATAGTTATGTTTTAGTGACACGAAAAAAAAATTATTCGATGGTTTAAAAGTATGAGCCGATGTGTGATCATTTTATCAGAAGTTATCAAGTGATTCACCGCGGATAGTGGTATCCATTCAACACAATAATTGAAAGTGTTTAAAAAACATTCGTGGTGACTCAAAGTATGTACCATGAGTGTGCAATATGAAGAGCCATTACCATAGGATGGATTAGGGTAGTGTATAATTATGTTGTCGTATAAAATATAAAAAGAAACAAAAATGATTTGAATACAAATAGTATACAACACAACTGGTGCCTAAACTTAACGAGTGCAGGAATAGTATATTACATAACTAGTGTGGAAAGTGACAGATTTCGCGTGAGTGGACGTTTAGAACGAGCCGCATAGCAGCGAGTGCGGAAACGAACCGAGTGCAGGAAATGCACTTTCCAACGAGTTTTGTACACTATTTTCCCTACGACCACAAATACTTAAATTAAAGATTTCATGAGACCTGAGTAGGTATTATGTTTCTAATCATATTCGATCATATGAATGTGAAATTATTATTATCATTGTCGTTATTATCACGCCCAGTATAGTGAATTTTTGATTATTTTCATTTAAATTTTATCATATGTAACACCACAAGTAATACTACTTTACGGGAAATATTCGGCGATTGTTACGACAACTTGTTGACTAGGCGAGAAGCTTTGAATCAAGGTCATGAGCGAAATTGAAGCAGCAAGCTGAAGTATGTCAATCGACGAATATTTCAAGGAAAAATAGCATCACGAGTTGTATTCCGAATGAATATTTCATGATTGAGATAATAAACGAGCGCCTCGCGAGAGTTGCGTGCGACACTGCATCCATCATTCTGGCTTCCAACATAATTGACGTTATAAACGTAAAAAATTTTATCGTGAAAAAAAACGAGGTTGGTTGGTTGGTTGGTTGGTTGGTTGGTTGGTTGGTTGGTTGGTTGGTTGGTTGGTTGGTCACATGTGGGTCAATTTAGCTTCTGTATTGGTAGGGCAAGTCTGATAGATTTTAGTAAACAAAAATGTATTGGTAGGGCAAGTCTGATAGATTTTAGTAAACAAAAAAATATCGCTGAAATACAGGAGAATCCGTAAAAATGGGAGATTCTGATTGGTTCTCGTGAACAAGAGTCTATATTATTTTAATTTAAAAATCAAACTGAATTATATTTATAATAATGGGGAAGTTTTCTATATTGAGGTTCTTATCTCACTGAAGTTTGTAAAAAATAAATATATGCGTATTTTTAATTTTTTTCGTAAGATCAAATTTCGCTTCAGAAAAAAATAAATGAAAGAGGAACTTAGCTCCTTCACCATTCCTATGACGTATTTTCTGAAAATCCACATTCACAGAGAGTTAAAATACGATTCCCTGCGCCAGTACAATGTTGCCGACATTATCTATATGTCTAGATTTCCGGAAATTGTTCTTTGAATGCATAATAACTATATCATAACAGTGATGAAATATAATAGGTTCATCATTCCTACTTTGTCAAGTATTATGAATAATTCCCATAAATCTCTCATTGGCTGATTGATGTTGATTACTAATAAAGATAAATTATGATAATTTGCGATAATATCTATAATTTTTCACTATCGTTACATCACAATATGCTATTCATAACTCGTCACTCAATTTTTTGCTAATGAATTCGTTCCTTAATAAAACGGATCTATTTTCTAGGAAAGTTGTAAATTATATCTAGCAACAGCGCCTAATACTTCAAGTCCGTCCACCTCACTCAAAAGACTGACAGGCACAACAAGAGGAAGGAGCCATGGGTGTCGGCTTCATACTGTTTTGACCGATGACAGTAAATTAGGAAGTATGTTTTTGTTCACCAGTTTTACTTCTTCTTCTATTTTTTTCATTAGTTTTCCATTCGTTAGCTATTCGCTAGCTATATTCTTCACCATCAGCTATTTTTAGACTTGATTCAGAATGTATGTCACAGTTTGCCGCCCCGAAAATTAGAAATTGCTTTAATTTGAAAATAAAAGGACTTGGACTCTATCCGTCGCTTTTCTGTACAGCGTGGACATAAAACTGGAGAGTTCCGAACTTATTTTATGAAAATTCATCTGAAGGGAACTTCCCCATTCTGTATAGCATGTGAAAGTTGTTGCTGTATATCGCTCTTTGAAGCTATGCCTCCTCGCCGAAGAACAATAATTCCTTTCAAATGACCATAACAAAAGCCTTTTGCTCAGGAAAACATGAAAGAGTGTACAAACTGACTGATAGTTACAACAGCCATTTTACTTCCGAGTTCCGACTGACCACATAGGAAAACATATGGAATGAGTGAGAGTACTGGATCTATCAGCATATTCTATCATGGTAATAAAATTATTTTTTTCCAAACGACATTAAAAGTGGATTTTTAATGACACTTAACAGGCAGAAAAGGTGTACTTTTTCTGCCTAGGCAGATAAAGTTTGTTGCTATACAACGTTCCGAGTAAATTGAATCAAATTGGCAATCGAAATTGACAAAGACTCTGGGTGAACAAAAAATGATGGATTATTTGGACTTTGCGTGAAATTGGAAAGAATTTGGAGAAAAAATTATATGTTCCACATGGCAGAAAAGAAGATGTAATGCCTTTGCTGGTTTCCTAGCCTCGGCTACGCCTAGGCTATGAAACGCCAGCCGCGGTATTAAATCTTGTACTTTTCTGTCTAGTAAAACAAATAACTAAACTGGTCAACATTGATAACGTCGTGGTCCAAAATATAGCCTGAATTCAAAGTAGAATAACGCACGAATTTCCTTACCAATTTGAAATCGGTTTCCACCGATGATTAGCCTCATCTCTTGGCAGTTTGTTATATATATGTTTGATCTACTGAAGACTACGTTATTCTCCATTCCATCATTCAGTATTCCTTGTATCACTTCGTATAGACTTCTTCAGAATTTTCTGTGTTCAAACACTATCACATATCCGACGACTAACGTTGATTCTTCGACAAAAAATTCCAAGTTCCAATTTCATTCAATAAATCGTCGAAAAAATGCATCATTTCGAATAATTATTCATAACACGATTATCAAAGCTCTGAATTTGAAAATTCTGCAAATTATCTGTTCAAACGGTAAGGTGACGACCACGATGCAATTTTACACCCATTCAGTTATCACCCTGTAGCAATGTCATCTGAAATCACAGAAGTTTCACATTGCCACAACAAACTGCCAAGAGATGAGGCTAATCATCGGTGGAAACCGATTTCAAATTGGTAAGGAAATTCGTGAGTTATTCTACTTTGAATTCAAGCTATATTTTGGACCACGACGTTATCAATGTTGACCAGTTTATTATTCGCCGATCCCTGATATGCTTACTTACCAGTCAACGAGAACTTCTCGGGCGGCCTCGGTATCCACTCGGCGGGGCTGCGCTTGCCGCGAGTCGGCGCCCCCTCGATGTACTCCTTCTCCGCCTCGTTCAGCTTCGACTCCAGCTCCATCACCTTCTTCTGCAGCCGCACCACCGACGTCCACTTCTTCTCCAGCAGTCCGCCGTACTTGCGCTCCACCTCGCCCACAGCCATGTCCGCCTCTTTTTTGAAGGCCTCCAGGGCCGAGGAGTAGCCGTTGGTGTTGAGGTAGTCGGCGATGGCTTTGTTACTAGAAAAAAAAAGAGGAGATTTGTTAAAAAGTGATTTATTTTGATTACTTCTTCTGCACAAAAAAAATTAGCATTATTTAAAGATGAACTTGGCGGCACCCAATCAAGGGGTTCAAACTTGAGCGATGGAAACTTATTTTTTTAAACCTTTAATCGCAGCCTATTGGGGACGGCTTAGTATATCCCCCCATGGTAAATCCTGCCTGTCGTAAAAGGCGACTAAAAGGATAACTTTAGGTGGTAGATGGTCTCATCGCCTGGTGAAATACCACCATATCGACTTTGTGTGCTGTGAAATGGATTACTCCATGTTTCAGTGTTCGGTCGATACTTCCCGGTCTCCCCCACCCTTTTCCTCAATTTCTCCGCTCTATGAATAAAGATGATGAAGTCTCCTAGACTAGAGTAAAACACTCCGGAAGTAAAATACCTCTCCATTCGGATTTCCGGGCGAGAGGTACTCGAGGGGACTCATCTCTGAAGACTAATTTCTGCAACATCCGCGAACTCAACAAAAACATCAATGACATCCACCATCATCTACGAACAAAAAAACCCAGATATTCTGGCACTAACAGAAGCTCAAGTGAACTCGTCCACCAACAAGGTCCACATGCTTTGTCCTGGTTACGAACTCCATTCTCGTTTCAGGTTCAAAGGTGGAGTCTGCCTCTACGCTAAGGTTAACCTTTCATGCCAGCGTGTAGAGAGTTTGGAACCGAAAGACTTTGATGTGATGTGGTTCAAGCTAGTCGATACCAAACTGACCAAATTTATCTGCTGCCTTTACCTATCGCCTAATGATAATGAATATAACAACCTCTTCGAGTTTTCATCACTCAAACTGGACTTCATTCAGGAGAACCATCCAACAGCTGAAATCATAATCATGGGAGACTTCAATGTACACAACGCAGCCTGGCTCAAATTCTCTAACAAAACAGATGATGCAGGTCGTCAAACTGAGGCCTTCGCCATCACTCATGGTCTAGAACAACTAGTCGAACTACCAACCCGCATTCCAGATGTCAACAACCAGTCTGCCAATACACTAGATCTATGTCTCACCAGCAATCCTGATCCATATAAAATAGAAGTTTGTGCCCGACTTGGAAACTCTGACCACACCCTCATCTCCACAACCTGCTCTTTCCATGTACCATCCAGCACCACAATTCCTACCCGTCTCATGTGGCTTTACATTTCGGCCGACTGGGAAGGTCTTCGTATGTTTTTTTCATCGTTCCCATGGAAGAGAGTTTCTTTCTCCTCAGCAGATTCAACACGATGTGCTGAGACAATTTCTGAAATCATCATGTTGGTGATGCGAACCTACATACCGAACACTGCAAGGAGAACATCTTCCGATAAGGCCTGGTTCAGTAGAAACTGCTCTAGAGCTGTCGCTTCCAAACAGGCAGTATTCCATCGATGGCAGAAGAATCCAGGCCCTGAGACGAGAACAGAATATGTCGAGGCTAGAGGCATATGCAATGAGACACTTCGATCATCAAAGGATGCTCATAATGCCAAAATAAGATCAAAACTTGTTGAATGTCCTAACGGATCCCGTTCATTTTGGTCCTTCGCCAAAGCTGTAGGAAGAAACTTCACTTCCAGCTCGTTTCCTCCTCTAACAAAGGAAGATGGAACACTAGCCACAACTGCCCACGAGAAAGGTTACATTTTTGCGCATTTATTTGCTGAAAATTCCACTCTGGATTCATATGAAAAAAAAACAACCTCCAAACATAACGCCAATTGACAGTCATATGCCCGAGATCTCCTTTCGCCAACGTACCATAACGAAGATTTTAATGGGTCTCAACACCAACAAAGCTTGTGGCTCCGACGAAATCCCACCAATTGTTCTTAAGAAATGTGCTCCCGAACTAACACCAGTTCTCTGCAAGTTGTTCAACTACTCTTACAAATTGGGGATATTCCCGTCCAACTGGAAAATTGCAAGAGTACAACCAGTTTCTGAAGAAGGCAAAAAGACCCTACCTAGCAACTACAGACCGATCGCACTACTGTCTATTATTTCAAAGATCATGGAGAAAGCTATCAACATCGAGCTCATGAAATACCTGGAACATTCAGGTATTATCAACGATAGGCAATATGGCTTCTGTCATTAGATATCAACTGGTGACCTGCTCGCTTACGTCTCACATATATGGCAGCAATCTATTGAAACCTTAGCCGTGGCACTTGATATCTCCAAGGTATTCGATCGAGTCTGGCACCACGGACTCCTCGCCAAGCTTCCATCTGATGGCTTGCCTCCCCAGCAACTTTTCTGATTCCAGTTACTACTTTTCATTCCGTCTCACTACAAGTAATGACGTGGGATGACTGCTGACAGTTATCAAAAAATGAAAACGAAACTTTCCGAAAGTAGAATACATTTAGAAGACATTTTTATCGTGAGGTTCACAAGTGTATGATTCTTCCAAGTAATACAGGCGTCACATCTTCATTCCCAGATAAAATGAATTTCATGATATGTCAATTCTCTAAGAAGTTTCTCGTTTTATTTGTAAACGTCTTTCTGTTCCCTTCCCCGTTACCTGAATGGAACAAATAAAACGCAACTATCAAATATCCTCACTAAGATATCACAAAATGACGAATATTATCGTGTTTTAACGCGTGAGACTGAAATTTATTAATTCTCTGGCAATGATTCTGCTGAGTTATTTTCACTATTCGAGATTACATTCATTAATCTGTGTTTAGCATTTAGGATTGTCGTCGTATCTTATTCAATGATTCATGAATGAATCCCGGTGTTTATCTATTATTATTTAGTATGAGATATGTACGATTTTTATCCGAAATGATCATGTAAAGGATCAGAGAAGGTATGGTTGTGCGTTATCGACCTAAATGGAAACCTAGTTAGTAGTAGGCGAGTGGTATATTATCTGTTCCTCAGAGCATCTAGTTGAAAATAGTAATTTATATTTTCTGAGTAGTCCATTTTAATACCAAAATTAGCTATGGAATTGACGTTCCTATCACTGACACAAAAATAGGTAAGTTGGTAGGCAACACATTCAGTTCCTGAAAAACTCCAACAACAAATAGTAGCTATTGGTGATAAGAATATGTCACATTTTCTTTCAAATGAATGTTCTTATCGATATTGTTAAGTGTGTTATAATTTTTTATTTTCACGATTTCAATGATTAGCCTCAAATTAATAACAGCCTGCCTATTATGTCATATTATCATATATTATAATATTAATATACTTGGAGCACCTTCGAGTGTCGATAAAATTCATCGAAGAATAAAATATTGAACGAAGGATATTGTCATAATCCCGCGATAATTTATAATAAAGGGACGAAAGGTCTACCGGTGCTATTTGAAAATATTGACATTGAGAATGAATTATTGCACCATACCAAAATGCACTTGAACTTTGTTGTTTGCATAGGAAGACCCGTTATATATACAAATTATTCAAGAATTAATTATCGTCGGTTAATTTCAAGGAAAAAGTTTATACAGAGAAGTGCACAAAAAACGGCCAGTGCTGTATCTTCGGAATCATTCAGAATCGGATTTCGAAAATTCGTGGGTAGCAAGTACAACATATTGCTCATTTATTGACAAAACAATTTTTGTTATATAACTTCCGTTTCCACCGGAAACGACCCCAACTCTTGATTTTTAAATGGGAGACCCTGTACCTATTTTATTCCATGATTAGGGTTTTTATGAGGGATTCAACGATACCAAGTCTGACAGGGGCTATATTCCGTATTCAATTGGTCAGTACTGTCAGTGAATTTACTGACTCTGCTGAAAATCTGTATTCCGAATTATAAAATCAAAAATTCAGTGCTTTAATTCGGAACAAGTTTTCATGGTTTCAGAAATTTGAATATTATTCTAAGCGTCAATTATTTTAATAACAGGCATTTTCTGATATTATGTTTGATATTATCAATTCATTATCGATGAAGACAAGACCAGATGTTCAAAATACAGGGACATTCCTTCCCCCTCTAAAATAATGATGGTTCACTGAAGCCACACTACCTTTTGATAGTCAGCAATTGAGCTCTTTTCTACCCTGAACGAGAGAGAGGAAAGTTCTCTCCTCTTCCATCTCTCTCTTCAATGCTACCAATGTGGCCGCATTGAAATATAGAGAGGTCCGTTAAAACGGGAGAAAAACAACTACTTCCATCCTCCCGAAATCTATGCGTCGACTCGTATAAACGCCAATTGATTTCGATTTAGCCAAGTCACGCTCGACACCTACAGACCGGTTTGGTGCTATTTGGCTCTCATCATTGCAGGGCAGTCTCCAGCGAGCAGTCCCAAGACTGTGGAAATGACTTTGAGAGCTTTTTGTATTTGTTTAACATTTCATTCCACTTTGAGCTCGATGAGCATTGTCGCTATTTCGTAATTGAAATTACGCCAGTCGGGCAACCAGCCACTCCAGTGTGGGAATTTTGGTTTTGGAGTGTTTCTGTCCTTCTTTTCTACTCATTTCTACAAAAATATGTGTTTTTATCGAACCTTTAAAATATTCCACCATATTAGCGAAATAATCCAACCAAGTGCTGGTTTTCGATTATATTGGACCTGATGTGATTGGCTCTATAAAAGTATCAATTTCCCTATACTATTCATAATGAAATCGCCATGTATAAACTTCAGAAGCCTTATCTTTTCAATTTCATCGTCGAACAGACTGAAACAATTTGTTATCATTAGAGTTTCTAATATCGTGGGAACATTTTTTGTCACAGTTTGCTCGAAACAATAAACAATAGTCTCATGTTGTATTGAGTGTTTGTTTTCTGTATGAAAACGGTAAGTAATAATTTATTCATGTCATGCGTAGGTGGTACTTCATTGGAATATTCAAATGTTCCTTTTTTTCCGATGATGAATTTTGTCATATACAGAAATAGTATTCACAAACCAGTTCTATATCGATTTTTTCAATAATCTTCTGCAAAATTCTTGT